GTTCTTTCTGAGATCGCTTGGCCACTGTACTTCTAACTTATAACCTCGCTCAGAATTCTCTTGTATTTCGGTTACAGGGGGTCATGGAAAATTTGCCACACTAGAGGGGATATCACTTCTCCTTGATCTATACCATTACCTGCTACGAATCTCTCTGTTGTGTCTATACTTGTTAGGACCTCTATCTCTCTGCTTTTAAAAAGGTTTATGATAGTTTCAGGGATTTTGGTATAGCTAGATCTAGCATTCTTAGTCCCACTGAGTTATATGCTTTTTTCATGTTCTGAAACATCATCCATAATTCTTTTTTCTTTTCTTTTGCCTCTTCTATTAGATAGCCTAAGAGGTGTATGGGTGATGCAGTGCCTTCCTCCTGGTAATCCTGCGAAATTTCTCCCTCCCAGGATCTTTTTCTCTCCTATAATTTTGGCTAGTCTGTTCATTACAATTCTCACTACTGTTTTTCTAATGAACTCTAAAAATAAAATTGGCTTGACATTGTTGAGCTTATAACACCACTCTTCTGTTTTAGATATTTGGTACAAAATACCTAGCTTCTACTTCTTTGGTATTGTGCCAGTCTTTATGCAATTTGAGGCGAGTTTAATAAAAAAATTTCTTGCAAATTTTTCTGCCTCTTTAATTAAAAGATAGGTGATTTTAGATGTCCCTGGGGCTGACTTGGCTTTGACTTGTACAAGGGCACAGTCCCACTCTGCTAAATTGATATCGTCTGATATTTTCAAATACTATGTTTCATCAATATTCTCACTTGGAGAGTATTGTTTTGCCTATCTCTCTGGCAAAATTTTGAGTCTGTTGTGTTTCTTTCACGAAATTGATTTTGGAAGTGTTCTTTGACCTCTTCAAGAACCTCTTTTGTCTCATATAGAAGTTTAGCCTCTTCACCTATTTTTTTGGCAACTTGATCAATTTTAATTTTTCTAAATGGCCGATCTAACAAGCTGATAAGCATTTTCTCTGATTTGAAACAATTATACTGTGTCTTTCTTCTATATATTTTCTTATCTCAGCCTCTTCTAACTTTTTAATTTTTACTCACTATTCTTTGTGCATGATTTTGGCCCAAGATTTGAGGTTTTCTATATTTAAGATATCCGAATCGCCTAACAGATTTCTGTCATTGTTTTTTTGTATTTGGTCCAATTGATTTAGTAGCCTTTCTGCATCTTCTCTTTGAAACATGCCTTTTTTGATTTTGTGACAGCCTTGTTGCATGTCTTGAATACTCGTCTGAGATTACATGTTTTCTTGTCTTCTTTGCTGACTTGCAAGATTTCTGGTTTTTTCTTCTTTTTGGCAAGTGTGTGTTGGCAGCTACTCTTATATAGTTTTCTATAATATTCTATTTCTCATCCACATTTTTTGGACCTCATTTATGCCACTGATTTTTGAGTTTTTTATTTAGAAACTCTCTGTAATTTTTCCAGTCTTCTTTAGAAGCTTTGTCTATATCTATATTCACTTCTTTTCTGTTCTATCTTCTTTGCTTGCTAGCTGGACCTTCCTTAACTCTAGGCCTGTGAGGAGACTTGCCCATATGTGATTGTGGTCGCTCATAGTGCATATATCTATTTTGTCAACTTTATTGCTAATGATGTTATTTTTTTCACTGCTCCGAAATTTATATATAATCGATATGAGTTTCTGAGTTTCTATTTGACCAAGTTGGCAGGTTCATTGATTTTTGCACATCATATAAATTTTTTTCTCTAATGTTGATATAATTTTTTGCTTTATGTTTGTTCTAGACTGGAGCTCTTTGTGGCCTAATGTGTTATTTGTGCAATTTTCTGTGCTAATATTAAGATCCCCAAGAACAATAAAGTATTGTGCTTTTCTCTTATGCTGATCTAAAGTGTTCTTTAGCTTTTTTAATATCTCTACCTGTATATTTGGAGCAATATATACAAAAATAATATGTATTGTAAGCCCTTTGAAGTCTAGGCTAATACTTAAAAAATATGGGCTGGTTTTGTTTATCTGTGTGATGTCTTTCTCAGGATTCTTTTATCAGAACACCAATGCCTGACCCCTTCTTTTTGTTGGTCTCTGCATCTGCCTATATGCTTTTGTATGAGTTTTCTTTTTTAATTGTGAATTGACCTTCTTTACTATCAATGTTCATTTTACCAATTCCTAAAATATATATATTTTTCTCTTTTGTATAATCTATAATTGCTTTTAGCTTGTTCTTATTGTCCTTTAAACTATTAATATTGTGAAACCCTATATTTATAACCCCAAAATAATCATATATGTTTCCTTTCTTTCTTTGGGCTCTAGGAGTTTCATTTCGAGATCATTTTCATTCGACTTCTTTTCTTTACCTTTTCGTTACTGTAGGAGTTGGTTTTTATCTTCAGAAGTGTCTTCTATTAACTCTCTTCCTTTCTTTTTGGACACCTTGGCTTCGGTTGTAGATTCACCCAAGATGCTTTTAGGAGCGATCCGCGGGGGTGGCCCCTGCAGCTCTACTATACGATTTTGAATTCTGGGTTTCGAGCCTGTCTAACCTGTTTAAGATTTGCTCTAGTGTAATAAATATTGAGTTTTCTCTTTCTTTCCTTTTTGCATTTTTACCCAGATACTTTTTTTCTTCTTGTTGATCACAAGGGTAGAAGTTCTTCTTATCTTGGTTTTTAGTTATTAAGGGTTGTCTAACTATGTTGGAATTGGCCTTTGTACTGCCAAAGTTTTGCAACACTCCAGCCTTTTTTCTGGCTTTTCCTCTTTTTTCTCCTGTTCTAGTGGTTGTTTCCCCTTCTTCTTTTTCTAGTTCTTCTGTTTTTGGGCTTTTAGCTTTTTTTTCTTGGGCAAGTTTGCTCTATCTTCTATCCTGGAGTCGTCCTAACCCTTCGCATTGCTATTTCTTGAACATACTATTCTTAAAGTGTTCTTGTGTTGATGTTTGCCATTTTAATTTACTATTGAAGTAGTATATACTTGACCCAAGAGCCTGGATTATGTCCTCTTTTTATCTAAAATAGACAAAAGCTCTTTCACTTTGGTAGCTGTTACTATTATTGTGTATGCTGCTTGTACCTTGTATCTTCTTAATTGTTGTAATAGCAGGCTGTCCAGGGTTGTTCTAGATATCTTGTTAATAGTACATCTATATCTATCTCTTTCGTTGAACATGGCTTTGTCAACCCTTCCCGGGATTATTTTTTGCATCTTTTCTTGGCCTAGTTGTACTGACCATTGTCTGTTTAATGGATGGGTTCCCTCTTTTGTATTGAATACTATACTTATATATACTGCTCTCCTCTCTTTTTGGCCCTGTTGCTATTCTATAATCTTTGTTATACCATAGTGCTCGAGATAAAGCTTAATTTTAGTTCCACTTGTGTGCATTGGGAGGTCCCATATTGTGAAAGAGTAGCATCGTTTGTTTGTGTGTTGTTGCCCAGCAAATTTCTCTCTTGGGCCCATACTGAGCTATAAATATCTTCATGACTTTTTTGCTTCTTGCTATATCTTTTTTTTTAATATCTTTCTCTCTCTGGTCACCTTTCTATACTCCATCCCTTGAGGACATAATCTGTAATACCCATCTCGTTTTCTAACAAAACAGCTTTTATTTCTTTGGCATTATTTTCTGTTATGACACTATGGTTATCATGTTCTTCAAGTGTTCTCTTGTGCAGATTTTTTTTGTTTTCCACTAAAGCATTATTGGTACTCATATTTGCTGCCGGTGAAATGTTTGTTCTATTTGCATTTGTGTAGCAAAAGTCTATCATAATTGGGCTATTTTTGCCCTTTACACACGTATTTAGACACATTTCAATATCTGTGTCATGCCTAAAAAGTTTTTTCTCTTTTTCAGACAGTGGCTGGTCTCTAACCTCTTTGCTTTTGGCTCATTTGAACTATTTGATTATGTTGTGTATGACTGCAATTAAGTTAATATCACTTGTGCAAAGGTATTCTGCTATGTGTATATCTTCATTTTGTATTGTTGCACACTGTTTGTCATATAAGGTACTTTTTTCTTTCTCTGTTTGTTTGAAAAAACCTTTGAAATCCTCTAGATTTGTTATTTTCTCTTATATATTTATGAATCTTGTGGCTTGGTTTGTTACGTTTATTTCAGTGTTTTTAAGTGTTTTTATATTTTCTAAGATTCTGTTTTTTTGTATTACCAAAAATGCTTGTGTTTCACAAAGGTTCTGTAGTGTAGAGTTGTTGGTGATTTCCCACTTTTCTTTTTGCTAAGCGAGTTTCAGTTTTAGTGGGTGTTGTTTTAGCACTTTAAATTTGCTATTTTGGACATTTCTAGTCTTGCTACTTGTGTTAGCTTGTTTCTACGCTCTGTATATATCTTTTATTGATTTCACAAAAGTTGTTCTTCTCTTTTCTAGGTTCTTATTGCTATTATACATTTATGGGGCTGACAAATATTAGCTCATTATACCCCCCTGCAATTTTTATTTAGTCCAACCCAGAGTCAGTCATTTGACACAGTAAAACTTACAAAAAATGCATAATTAGGTTTTTGACAGTTGACAACGTAAACTGTCAAAAACCAAATTATGCATTTTTTGTAAGTTTTACTGTGTCAAATGACTGACTCTGGGTTGGACTAAGTAAAAATCCCAGGGGGGGGTATAATGAGCTAATATTTGTCAGCCCCCTAACTATTATTTATATAAATTATAATCTGGCGCTTTTGCTTTTACTAGACTATTTTATCATTACGCTTCTCGACTATATCAACACTAACGTTAATTGTTATACACCACATTCGCATCAATAACCATTCGGGACTGAGGTCATATGACCAATAAAACAATATATAAGTCGATCGAACGCATCATAACTTTTGTGAATGATTTCATTATCTAATCGGTTTATTTTATCACAATCTCTTAAAAATTTTCCCATTAAAGGGAATTTTTTTAAAAGTTTTTATTATCCCAACCGAAAATTTTCAGAATTAAGCATGTCCTTTAAAATTGCATGCATTCAATTAGCTGTTTCATCCGATAAATCTAAGAATCTTATAAACGCTAGAAATAAAATTTTGGAAGCTTCGAAAAATGGTGCAAAGATAATTTGTTTACCGGTATTCTTTTTTTTATACTTCAGTGTAATGATGAAAAAAATGAGAAACTAATGAATGGGTTTATAGGAATGTTTTAATTCACCATATGGTACTCAATATTTTTCTCAATATGCTGAAAATATTCCTAATGGTGAAAGTGTAAGAACTCTTTCCGAAGTTGCTAAGGCAAGCAAATAACATATATTTTCAGTTGCATTTTTTATATATTTTTAATTTAATTAATATATATGGCTCTATCGGTAATTTTTAGGAATCTAAGACTTATCTTATTGGAGGTATAAATTTTTTTGAGCAAATAAATAATTTGAATGTAATTAATCTTTTGCATTTTCTCTTAGGATCTATTCCGGAACGTGAAGATTCTACTGGCAAACTATATAATACTAGTACTGTTTATGATCCAGAGGGTAAGTAAAGTTTTTATATTTATAAGTTATCGTATGGTTGGTATGAGTGTAGATAAGTGATTGAATCAAATATCTGTCAGAGATATGTGGGCTGTGATAGCGGCCATACCTTTGACGAATATTTGATCGATCATTCATTTATCTACGCCCATACCATCATGTCGATTTTTTATCCAACCATATGATAACGGTTATCGTCCGGTTATTGTTATTGCCATACCAAAATTTTGATCATATTTGTACGGCTGAATTTTAAAATTCTTATTAGATAGAGCTGATTATGTTATCGGCATTGTCTGATAAGAATTTTAAAACTCCATCGTATAAAAATGATGGTATGGCAGTAACAACATGGTCGTACGATAATATCTAAATATATTCTTAATGTTTCTCTATTATTCTTTACTATAGGATCTCTGATTGCAAAGCATCGAAAAGTTCATTTATTCGATATTGATATTCCTGGCAAGATTACATTCAAAGAGAGTGATTCTATAAGTCCTGGAAATTCTTTAACATATTTTGATACTAGTATTTTTTCTTTCTCGTATTAAACTCGTGACTTGAATTTTTTTTCAAGCAATTTGTTTAAATCATTTTATTTCTTCACTTGCATTAGAATTTGGTAAGATTGGATTAGCAATATGCTACGATATAAGGTTCCCAGAAATGGCCATGATTGCTGCCCAAGAAGGTTAAATGATTATAATATATATATATATATAATCTCTTTGATGACGTAAATGTAATATTCCTCGTATTGTGAATTGTTCTGCAGGATGTATTGCAATGTTTTATCCGGGAGCTTTTAACATGACTACGGGTCCCTTACATTGGGAACGTGAGTTTTTTTAACATTAAAATTTATTATATAAGCAATCTTTTGTTAGCGTTAGACTTAAATACCATTTTAAAATAATTAGTTTTACAAAGGGCGAGGGCTCTTGATAACCAGGTAAAACCAATTTCTAAATTGAGTTTATCAGCTGAAACGCACAAACAATAATTTTTTAATTATCCAAGTTTTATGTTGCAACTTGTTCTCCCGCGCGTGATATGAGTGCAACCTATAACGCATGGGGCCATTCGACTATTGTGAATCCCAGGTAAATCTTATTTCTTCCTATGTGTGTTCAAATATTGGTACTTTATTTATTTAATTATTTACTATATCTCCCTATTTAATATGATCGATAAAAACAGTGGTACTGTGATTGCAACTACCGATCATGAAGAAGCCATTATTTACGCGGATATTGGTAACAAATTTCACTTATGATGAAACAAAGATATAATCTATGTTTGTTTCATTGTTTAACAATTATGTTTAAATTCTTTTTTTAAAAGATTTAGATGAAATGAAATCTTTTCGTCAATCTATTCCTACAACTTCACAAAAACGTCATGATCTTTATACTAAAGTTACAAATTCTAATTGATTGGTGCTTTGAATATTATTTATACTTTTTTAAAACCCAAAGTCAAAACATTGCAACTTATATAAAGATGTTAAATAATAGATCGTATATGTTTAATGATTTATGTAATTAAATTTTTGATCAGTTACCCTTTATATGTTGATGTAACCAAATATATACTATACATGGGCAATAATTTATCCGTGAAATTTTTGCTAATGCTATTCGTGTAGCTATTTTACTATTCGTAACAAATTTTAACAAATCAATCAAAAAGTTGCTAACGCTAAAAGAAAACCATATTTCCGCTATATTGACATAACTGGAAAAGAGGATCTTAAGCTCGATTGAGAAATCAATATAAAGTATATATATGGAAATAATACAGTATCATTACAAACGATACCATTAATGCAACACTTCGATTTGTGTTATATTATCGATATATATCTGATATATATATATATGAATATATATTTGATATTTTTTTCATTAGAATAATGTTTTTTTTTCTTGATTATCTTGGCTGTTTAGTCTAATATTAGCGCCTGCAGCGCATACATATATGTTTGTAATAATAATAAATTTAAACGAGTCTATTCGTTAAATACCTGTATAATTTACGAAACTACATAAAGTTTAGAATTTCGTACCATAAAAATATGCACATCTTCCAATTGCATTTCAGCGTGATAATTTGGTTGAGGTGTTACAGATGATGGGCATGATAGACATGATAGGAGGTGATAGGTGGAAAATGGTGCTGGTCCCTCATTAAATCGAACAAAAAAAAAAATGCATTTAAAAATTACTGATTTCTATTTTTAGTTAGTCTAAAAATACCGTTTCATTTGTAATTGTTGTTGTAAATTGCGAAAAATTACGTATTATGTAATAGATAAACATTGACTGTTAATTCATATCGATATGTAAATTCATATGTACAGTACGAATAAGTCTTTTTTTAAGCATTACTGTAGTCGTAAAAAACCACGTAAAAAAAATTAAGTTATCCAATGACTTCGCTCACGTGTTGTGTCTGTCGATCGGTAACAACCTTTTATCGATAATACACATTAAATTGTTTAATAGAAGATTTGTTATTTAATAGTAATAAAAAACGTTAATGTCACCGATAAAAATGACTCTAATAATTAGAAATAAAAAAATAACTACATAATTATCTAAATATTAACAAATTCCACGTGTATACATTAATGAATAAATATATAAAATATAAAATAAAATTGATGATAAATGTCCTCACTAATTTATGATCTCCTTATATATTCATACACTTTGTTAGCAATATTATCATCCTTCATTTGCATCATATAAATACTTGGCACAGGTGAGTTATTATTTGGTACTGTAATTGCTACTTTACATTTTCCTGTTTTCTGAACTCCTGATTCAGAAACAATTGCATCTACAAATCTTGATACTTTTGGTTTATCTATATCGATAATAATTCTTTTCTTTCGTGATGGTGACTCTAAATCTAAAGTCATATCCCCCCATCCAAAATTCTTCCAAACCCCATGATCTTTTTGTAAAAATACTTTACATTTTGCTTCAATTAATCGAGTAACTGTCTGCTCTACTTCTCTTAGACGTTCTTGCGATCGCATTGATGTTGTTCGTGGAAATCTTTCATATTGTGGAACATTTAATTCATCTTGCGACCGCATTGATGCTGTTCGTGGAAATCTTTCATACTGTGTCATGTTTAATTCATTTGGCCCATAATTAGGATGTGACATATGATGTCCTGTTGGAGGTTGCGGTCGATTAACTGTTGGTAGATTACCAGTACTTAAACTTTTTTTAATTTGTGGTGTTTGTGCAGATGAAAATGGTGGACTCTGCGGGTTTTGAGGTGCTGAGAGTCGCGAATTTGACATATTTTGTGAACTACGCATATTTGGCGAATTTGGCCCATGCATATTTGGCGAGTTTGGCCCATGCATGTTTGGCGAATTTGGCCCATGCATATTTGGCGAATTTGACCCATGCATGTTTGGCGAATTTGGCCCATGCATGTTTGGCGAATTTGACCCAGAGTGTCTTGAATTAGCTGCTAATAATTATTTTTAAAGAAATGTTACTTCAAAATATTTGTTAGATATAATTCAAATTTACTAATACCAACCAGCTTGAACAGTAAAATTTATCATCCTGTAAATTTCTTGTATCCACCTTTTCCTTTGTTCACGATCCTCTGTCAAAATTACCAAATCCTTTTTTTGCATAAAATTTAATTGAATTGATTCTACAAAATAAAAATACATAAATTAATAACTCATTTCTCCATTTTAAAAGCAAAAAAAATTAAATGAACTAAAATTTATATAAATATTGAACAAACCTTCGTTTCCAACAAGATTGTCATTTATAGATAAATATCTTCCACTAAATGGTGGATGTAATAAATAAAATTCCTTATTAGGGTTGATTTGTTTTTCGTCTGGGCTTAATCTTTGACAGACTAGCAAGAGATCTGTCAATAAAAATATGTGTGCCCTGATAGAACTATCTGATTCATCATCTTCATATACTGTAAAGTCAGCATTAAGAATTATTTCACGATTAAATGGAAGACGTGGAGGAAGAAAATCAATTTTGATTTGCTACACGTAAAAAATTTGGTGATAAAGAAATGAATATTATATATTTTTAATAAAGAAATGTTATAATAGACATTTAATTAAAAGAAGATTGACTATATAATACCTTTGGTTTTTTCGTGACAAAATCCACAGTTCTAGTTGTATCCAAACTAACTTCTAATTCTGGCAATGTCCAAACGTTTTTCACCTGGTGAGGTGATTCTGGAGAATCAGAATAGTCTGCATCAACTATATAATTATCAGGTGGAGTTGAAGGTTGATTAGTTGGTGATATTGGTAATTCATTATTTGAGTCTTGCGAGCTCCTGGCTCGTTTTTCAATGTCAATAAGTAAATCAATGCGTTTAATTGCATTTGTAAAATGCATATTTTCCGAGCTTCCAGGCTCCGAATTCCTAAGTTGACGCTACAAAAAAGAATATTGTATCGATTATCGATAGTCTAGATAAAATAATCATTTAAGAAAAATTTTAATAATCCTAACTGTGTAAAATTTTTTATAATATTTAATTCTCTTTAACGGCAATTCAAAAAAGAAATTTAAAGTTTTGAGTTGGTTCTTTTCTGATGAAATATCCTAAAGTAGAAATTAAAATCATGAATATTTATATAGTAGATATATATATATATATATATATATATATTATAAATCGAAGTTTATGCCGAAACAAAAATTACATTCAAAGTTTGTTGCAAAGCAATATTTCCTTCAATCTCAGGTAATGACTCAATGCCTCGTATATAACCTTGGCAATAGCTTGTATATGGTTTTTCCATTCTATCAATCTAACGGACAAATTGTAGAGTATAAGTATGACAAGCATTTTATGTGTTAATAACAACAAATAGTAAGTAATATTAAATACCCAATTCACTAATACGTCGACAAGGCTTTCCGCTGATTGTGGATCTTGTTTAATTTTTTTAAGTTTCTAATATTGGATTAGATGTGATTTAAGGTATCATTGCGGTTCCAATGATTTGTTTTTTTTAAAGTGAATATTAAAAATTTACATAAAACTAGAAAAAAAAAAAAAAACTAAAGATACGAACATGAAATAATTCCCGATTTTGTCTATAAACTTTATCAACTAAACAAAACATATTATCTAATTTCTTTGGAGGCGGATTGTCACCATTCCAACTTGCAGTAACTCGCTGTGGAAAATGAAAAAAAATTTTACTCTAAATAATCATTCAATTAGAAGTATATTAAATATGGGTTCATGTCATTTGCCAACAACCATTTCCCAACAATAAATATTTTTGAAAATATTATTGGGAAAATAGTTGCGGGCAAATTGTTGTCGGGCAAATGACATGAACCCATTAAATATGCATTATTACTAAACCTGTAATAAACATTTCAGATCAACTAAATATTCCTCTTCTGTTTCAATGAGAAGAGTTAAAGGGCTAGTATCTGATTTTACATATGTATTAGGTGACATTACAGGAGACTTCGAGTATGTCGAATTCGGTGGCATTTGAGGAGACATTGAATATGATATCGAATTTGACGGAGACAAAGTTGGAGACGTATAAGGAGATTTTGAAGGTAAACTAGGTGGCATATAAGGAGATTTGTGAGACAAATTTGGAGGCATATAAGGAGACTTTTGAGGTAAATTTGGAGACATGTAAGGTGATCTTGGAGGCAACAAAGGAGATTTAGGGGGCAAGTTTGGAGGCAATAAAGGTGATTTAGGAGGCGAATTTGGAGATGTTGGATATGGAGGTGAATTCGGAGGCATTAAAGAATTTGGAGGAGAATTCGGAAGCGATTGAGTATTGGGTGACATTAGAGGAGATTGATGAAAACTGTATGAAGACTAAGCCAACAGAGAAAAAGAAAATGTTAACGATCAATGAATACAGTGAAGCAAATTCTTTGATTGAAATATCTTAAATATAACATACAGGATCCATCCTTAGGAAATCTTTGAACTCTTTCGATAGTTTGCTAATACAATTTATAAGTTAAGGAAAGAAATTAGAGTTTAAGAAAATTCTTATGTACGTACGTTGCAAATATTATATTTTTTTTTTAAATTGTACAACTATTTATTCTAAATTGAAATATTCCACGTGCATTGTTATATTCCTTCGAATGGTTAGTCATAACAACGGATAGCGAAAAAGGATTGCATTTCGAACCTAGCTAAAAATAGTAATACTGTTTCAGTCCAAGACTTTCGGCTACTACATAACTTGGATAAATATTAAAGCATTCTTTACTTCTTTTGGTGTATGAAATCTAATTCTCCCAATTTGGATTTTCACCAATTAAATGGTATGTAGTGGAGCCCGTATATGATCAAGCCAAATATACTAACATGTAAAATGTCAATGATCAATTTAGGGTGGGCGTAACTACATAATAAAGATTAATTTGTTATACTTGATATGTTTTTGATTAATATATAGTTAATAGTGCAAATAACTTGTCCCATCTAATACTTGAGATCATTCTAATTTTATTTTTGAGCAAATGAAATGTGACAAGACAAATATTGTCTTTAAATTTACCAAGTGATCAATTTTCATATTATTATTAATAATAAAAAGAAACATTATTAATGTTACACGCGGCTAATGTCCGCAAATTGCATACGACGCACGCATGTAAATTAAAAAGTGACTCGGTGATCCGGCTTTATCATAGCAAATAATGTATAAAAAGATTTACAAAACTGATCCAACAAGTCTTACGACCTTATAAAACAATGTTTCCAATTTCGATATATTGAAAAAAACATATTAAAACTTGAAAAATCTCTTCAAATTTTTATATGATATTATATGAATAGTGCGTACGTACGAGTAAATTTGATTTGACTAAACCAATTTTTGGGGTGAACAAAGGTAACCATGCATGCGTACTACATTATCCTAGCACGACAATGATCGCTTATATTCTGGCCTATCGAAAAAGAATTTTCAAAAAAAAAAAAAACTGCGGTATGGAGGCTTTTACATTATGTAAAGTAATATAAATAGTCCCTTATACGTACGTTAAAGAAATGATTTTTTTGTTTAGGTATTGGCCGTAGTTTAATGGATAATCACATTTAATTAGCTGTCTTCTATTAATTTTTTATTAATTTGCATTTTATTTTCTTTAATAAAGTATAAAAAAGGGTGTATTTTTCAGTATTTATTATAAATTTACTGATCACGGGTATAGCCATTACAATCACGAGTATGTACGTATGTACGTGTGACGTACATCTTTGAATGTCAAGGCTGATGAAAAGTATAAATACACTTAGCCCTCCGTAACGCTTTCAATTTCGGAAGTTTTGGTGTACGCTAAAGGGGAAGAAAAAAAAAATAATTGAACTTTTTTTGTTTTTACGGCGATATATTACTAAATGTTGCTATAGGATTTTATAAGTGCAGTACAGTATATATTTGACGTTAATAAACAATGAACAAAAAACAAGAAAGAAAGAGAATTTTTAAAAATCAGTATGCATTAAAAACTGAAGAATTATTTCAAATGCGTCAAAAACTGCAAATTGAGATTCGTCGACAAGATCGAGAAAAATTTCTAGTCGCTCGCCGTAATTATCAAAAAGATTCAAATCCATATAACGATGAATTTAAAAATGAATTTTATTCAAAGGTTCCGCGGTGTAGTAATATTAAACATTTAGATGAAATACGTACATCAAACACTTCATCGGATACTGGTCTCGGTGAAATAAGTCCACACAACACCTCATCAATACCACAACAACTTTATCAATTGATTGAAGGATTGAACTCAAATTGCGTAGAAATACAGTTAATCTCGCTCTCGAAATTCAGAAAATTGTTGAGCGGAGAACATATAATTTCAGTTCAAGAAATAATAGATTATTGTGCGGTTCCTATATTTGTTCAATTTTTGTTATCAAAAAATGTGGATCTAAGATATGAGGCTGTGTGGATTTTATCAAATATTTCCACCGGATCAACTGAACAAATTCAAGCCGTAATTAATGCTGGCGTAATTCCTATATTCACGGAATTACTCAGCAAAACGACAGATATGAGGTTTCAGAATCATATTTTATGGGCGTTAGGTAACATTGTCGTTGATAATCCTCAGTTTCGAGAGCTCGTTTTACGTGAAGGTAATCTTGGCGCATCATGCCAACGTATTCTGGATGCTAATGTTCAACCTTGTTTAGTATTACGTACGATGTCATGGACACTTTCATCCATTTATCGTGATCATATTACTGAATCAGTTTGGTCACAAATTTCTTCAACATTTCCTGTTCTAGCCCAACTTATTAACTTCAAAGATGACGAAATTTTATATAATGTTTGTTGGGCGCTAAGTTATCTTGGCGATAATAACCGTATAGAAGATGTGATAAATTTAGGTGTTTCACCACACCTTGTAAATTTGATGATGCACGATAATAATGAGGTTCAAGCTGCTGCTTCGCATTGCGTTCGAAACATTGTCTCCGGCAATGATTCACAGCGTCAAGTAATTATCGATTGTGGAATTCTTACAGTTCTGAAATCTTTATTGGTTAGCACAAAATCTTCAATAAGAAAGGATGCATGCTTTATTCTTTCTCACATAACAACTGGTAATATTGATCAAATTGAACATGTCATTCATGTTGGTTTGATCTCATTGGCGATAAATCTTATGGCTAATTCTGATTTTCAAACACAAAGAGAAACTTGTTACGTTGTGTGTAATGCAATAAGTAGGTGTTATAACCGGCCAGAATTAACAACATGCATTGTACGACAAGGATGTATTCAACCATTAGTCAACATGCTTGGTTATATGGACAATGATATCATTTGTGTGGTATTGAAAACTATCAATGCCATCCTTCAACTTGAAAAAACGCTCGCGGAAGAGAATAATTGTAAAAATCAATGTATGTTATTGATTGAAGAAATAGGTGGAATGGACAGAATTACCGAATTGCAAAATCATGAGAATGATGAAATTCGGTTACTTGCATACAAAATTATTGATAAATATTTTGCAGAAGAGGATGAAGGGTATGAATCTGAACTTAATCAAGGTTTTGATTTAAGCGGGCAAAATGAGCTTTTAAATAAGCAATTTAATTATCAAAGTAGTAATAGCATCGATAGTATTGAAATAATTGATGTCAAAATTTAATGAATCCAGATATTTTGAAGTAATGAGAGAGAACAATAAAAAATGTTTATGGTACTTACTTCATTAGTTAAAGACAATAGATTAATCCACTCATCTGTTTATTTATGCAAATATCAAATTTGATCAATTTGGACTATTTTAGAAAATATTTTCAACATTTTTTTATGTTATTATTAAGTATATATTTACTGATATTACGCGACTTTTTAAATATTTTTTAAGAAACATGGCACTAATATATTCCTCGCATTATATAGTATTCATTTAACAGATTAACATAATTAACAGTTAATTCATTAACAATATCTATGCAGATTCCCAGTAAACGGCTTTCTAAAATATGAAAATTTTTTAATGTGCCCACACTCCAATAATAATCTGTAAAATTCATTTTATATAAGAATAAAAAAAAAAAAAAGCTTGATCTATGGGATTAACCATATTTTTTATTATTTTACTTTTTTAAAAAATCAATGTGCTAACCAAATGATACTGTAATAGTATTATTAGACAATTAATTATTTATATCAAATTATCATTTTCCAATATTTATTTGAAGTATAAAATTTGTTAAAATTAACTCTATAACGAACCAACTGCTCTTAGAATAATATACTATGTTTCTATACAGAACTTATCATAATCCATTAAAAAAAAGTTCGTTATAGAGTAAGTCATTCTATACACAGTTTACCGTAAAAGGAACTGCTAACTTCTGCTTACATTACTAATCAAAAAAAATAATTGACACACTAATTTTGCTTACATTGTCACACTACCTTGCTTACATTACAATTGTGACGAAATTTAAAGCTCAACAGCCAGTGCACCCATTGGATCCCAAGCAGGCAAAACATGTGGTGTTTGATCCAAAATTTCAACATATTCATTAGGTGCGTCTTTCTTTTCTAACACGATTTGATAAACCCAATCGTCAAACCAACCATCTGCCATCACGAAGTATCCTTTCTCTCCACGATCTTCCCCCCAACTATTTTCAACACGCCAACGAATAGGCTTGTCATTTTCAAGATGAACACCTGTTAAAATAATAAATATTTGACATGCGTATCTTTTTTTTTTAAAAAAAAAAAAAAAAGTAAAACCTAAGAAAATTTACCAGTAAAAACCATAGCATGTGTCATTGCACTTTGAGCATATTGTAATCTTTGTGCTTTCGTCATGCAAAATTTAATATTAAAACCTAATTCATAATCAATAAGTTTATTATCCAGGATTCCTAATGAAGAATCACTAGCCTTTCCAACATCAGCGCCGAACCAAACCGGCTTTCCGGATCGTAAAGTTTGGATAGTCAAGTGTTTCATCGTTTCGACCGGAATATTTACATAGCGAATTGGTACGCCTCCTTGGATGTTACCAAGAAATTCAATTGTATAAAGACGTAAGTACGGATTACGAGGGTCATTCACAAGAGAGAATGTCTCAGTTGCCTGTTTAATGGCAATAAATAAATAAATATATATATATATATATAGTATATATATATATATATATATATATAGTAGATAAAAGCTTAGAATAATGGTGATACAGTGTATTTTATTGAATAATGGATTTATACCTTATAGCTGACGAACTCTTTATAAAATTGTTTCGGTGTCAATCTAAGAAATTCACGATATTTCCCATCTTTGTCACGAAAAGTCCAATCAAACATTTTAGGGGGTTCTCCAAGAGCAATTGCTATAATGCGATAAATCTCTTCCATCATTTGAGCTTTTACACGTCGCAACGTTTCAATGCTTTTTCCAGAAGCATGCATTTCTCGCAATTGATAAGCGAATTCTCGAAGTTTAGTCGTAACAATCCAATTTAGTTTACCTGAATTTGATGAATTATAAGTTTCAGGGTATACCTATATAATTCATATTTTTTGTGTTAAATTAATCCTAAATACAAATCTTTCAGATATAATACTTACATACTTGGGAGCTACACCATATTTTTCCAGTAGATTGATCACCATATCCCATTGCCCACCATCGTTAACCGGAGCAAGAATCAAATATTGAACTAAACGTGATTCAACATCTTCATTTACAAGCGTGATCATGTTCTCAAGGAAAACTTTGAAAAAAAATATATTAATATTTTTTGAATAAGAAAATGCAGCATAAAAATTACTTACAATTTGCCTTTTCAAGCTTGTCATAAAAGAACAAGAAAGACTGAGATAATTCAAAGTCTTCCAACTTGAACCTAGTAAATTTTAATTAACTATGATAAATATCGATAGTTTTAAATATATAAAGTAACATTACAAAGGCTGAACCTACTTTTTCATGATTAATAAACGTAGCACATTGGTAGCAGCGAATAACCAACAACGGCCAGAAGATTTTTGGTTAGTCGCTTTACCCTCCAATTGAATTTTCTCAGAAAAGACATGGATATCCTTTATAGCGGCCTATAGTAAGAAAATACTTTAAAGAGTAATCCTTAACGTTATAGTAAATCATATAAATATTTTTGAAGAATATTTTACATCTCGGTTCAATAAAACTTTATTCATGTCATCGTTGCAAATAGCATTCAATGCCATTCTATTCTTTGGATCAGTGTTAAACTTATCCCTAGCAACAAGAAAAATAAAAATAAAGCGGATGTTTGCAAATTCACGATTTACAGTATTATAGCACAGTATTTATAAAGATATTTACGAATATCTCACAAGAGCTTCTTCCTTCAACTCAGCACTTCCCTCCGGCTCATCAGTGTAAGTATTTGTATAATCTTTCCACATGTATTCATTAGTTTTATCAAATTTATCAAATTTTTCATCATCTTTAGCTTTACCGGACAAATGTCCTTTCTTAAAGCTACGAAGTCGAGATTTAGTTTGACCCATTATTAAATGCTACGCCACAGGTCAATGAAAAAGAAAAAGGCAAAAAAAAAAAAAAATTCACCCTTGTGATGTTCTTTAACAATGGAGATCATATTAAATATGGAACCACCGAATTAAAACCTTAATCACGAAATCCATAAAGATAAAACAAATGTCACACTGTAACACACGTGAACTAAATTTTTATAACTTTTTTTAGTTAAAATTTTGGGATTTAATTTATAGTGCTATAGCACTATGGCGCTAGGGTATTATAACCAATTATAATTTAAGATCAGGTGTAACATGTAGATCCTGCCTTTGTGTAACAAAAATAAGAAATTTTTAAAAAAATAGCTACATCTTAAAATTTTGATTAAAAAACTATCTTTTGTATTTTAATAAAAAAAATTCCTTGCAAAATTTTAGTATAAGCTATGCCTTGCCAAACTTTAGCCTTAGCTTTGATCTAACACTAATTAAAGTTTTATTTTTTGCATACAAAAAAGATGTTTTGATTTACATGTTACACCAATTTTGTATTTACATATAGGGTAGCGCCATAGTGCTATAGCACTATAATAATATTCCCTAAAATTTTAGTTTAATTTTTATTATTCATAGAGAATAACGTGATCGACTCATGATTCAGTATATATATCTGATTCGTACGTGAATATGTATGGAGTAGAACACATACGTTTTCGTGTATCACTTACCATTTTATTTTTATGGAAGAAACTTATCCAGCGAAAGAGATATATCATGAGAGACAAAAATTATGGTTTTGTGGCCAAGTTAGTTTGACGTTTAAAAAAAAAAAAATTATTACATGGTTTTACTTTGCTTTCCCATGAATAATCATTTATTAATAATATATATATATATATAATCATATGAATTGTGAAAAAAAAAAAGCACACATTGAATAATTTAGTGAGTGAACATCATCGATTATATTTATTTCTAGTTCTCGACCTGTTATTCAAAAAAATTCATCACTTTCCTTATATACCAAGCTTCAAAATAAAGCATTTTCCAAAGAACAACTTGACGATATCGCCTTGAATCTGTCCAAAAAAACCGATTCACGAATTAAAAATTTGAATTTTCTCCTCATTAATCCACACAAAAGTGTTCTGTGAGTGGCATCTTAAATTATTTGTGTCGAAAATACAACAAATAAATTAAATTTCTAACAATAACATCTTATATTATTTATTAAACAGTGGTATTGGTAACTATGATATTAATGTTTTGGAAGTAGCTTTAAACCAGCATGATTTGGAACTTCAATGGTTTGATGCTCGAAGAGGTATTATTTCTTTTATCAAGATTATCATTAATAGACTCTATTATCATTAATCGAATCTTATCATATTAACCTTAATAATGTGTATAGACATTCGGACGGTCATCCAATTCACGGATCCAACCCTTTTTGGAATTATCTTAAACACTCAATCATCTCGTCTCTATTTCTGGTCATCTAATCATTGGATTGCCGTTAAACCGTTCTTTAGTGATAATGAAGAAACACCAGAGATTTACAACTTGGACTCTAAATTGTCCAAACCTCTAAAGTTCGATAACATAGAGCAGGTAACTATTTATGTACAAGCTAAACCTTATTCTCCATACCATTTCCTGTTTATGAATTAACAAGTTGTAAAGGAAGATCATGGACATTTGTTTTTTTTTTTCTTTTTTTTCTTTTTTTTTTTGATAATTTAATTATTATTTATAGGTTTATAGGTTTCTTGAACTTACTGTTTATCATCAGGATGGACAAGTTTTTATTGTCAAGAGAAAACCAAATAATGATGGAAATGAATCAGATTATCACTAGGTATATATACAATTTATAAATATATACAGTACAATAATGGGGTCGCGATAATAAAGTTACAGAGATCATGTGAATATCGAAGAAACTATATTTTTAAAAGATATTACTTGAAAAGGATATTTGTCAGATATACGAATATTTGTCTGAATTGTCAGGAAGTTTTATTTTTATCGACATGAACATTTATTTGTAAATTCCAATTATGGGTTATCGTTATATGCTATTTATTTTTTTTTGCAATATACAGTATTTATTAGAATTTATTTTGTTTTTAGTATTAATCATAGTAATTTAAATACGTGCTGACAAGAGCTATTACGTAGACATTATAAATTATACATATAGTGTGTAGAGGCATATATAATGTGTTCATGACTTCAATTTGTTCATGAATTTTTTGATTAGTATCTTTATATTGAAACCCGATTTCTAAGATTTTGTAATGTCAATAATATACAACACAAGCAATAATAACAAGCAATCAACATAATATTGTACAGCCCTTTGGGTAGTTATTGAGACTCAATTTCTTAAACGTAATTGAATTTTGGGATTAAATTGTTATCATAAACCATCGGTTTCACTCCGAGATTGTAACATCCGAAATTGGTACTTCTGAAACCTTACACCATCTGTTCTTTACATAATCACCGCAATTGAATTGGAACACTACAAAGATACATATGACAATAAAAGATCATTGTGCAACCGTGAATCGAAATTAAGGTTACTATCGCTATGAATATATCGTGAATTCAGGAATTCTATACCATTAAATTTTTTTTCGTGAAACAAATATTAGACCTTAGCCAGATTACAAATAATTATTATACACCTATAAAATAAAATTTGCCGTATACAAGATCCGGGTCTGTTACCCAATGTTTATTATATGGAATCGGATTTTTATGTAGCGCTAGTGGTCAGAATTCGATATGGATACTATAAAGTGACTGTTGTAATGGTTAGTAGCCCAGCCGGTACGACTGAGTTAGCGTCGCCTATAAAAAAATGTAGTTGACATCATATATTCGATTATTATATATATATATATATATATATAGTATTTTATATATCACTAAAATTTATCATTATATATATATATTATATATATATATACAATATATATGTATTATATTTACAAGTGATATTTTTTATGGGCGATGCTAGGTTTGCTGTAATGATCAGAAGAGAGCATAAAATACAGTATGCAATAACAGTTTTATTCAATGAGTTTACTATTTCAGCTTAACAATAGTTTTATCACATAAAATACTACGTATTAATTAATTGATTTTATTTTATAGGCCGTTAATAGTAAGGCATTGAATGAAGGATATACCATAATATCTCTCTTTTTATAATAATTTTATAAATAGGGACCGTCTGAAACTTGATATTCTAATTTAAATGTTTTTTAAAATTTGTTAAAACGATAATACTATAGTATATATATTTGTTTATTTTTGGATTTACCCGTATTTTTTTCTCCTTGTCGCACGTTTATATCTAAATATTCAAATTTATTTTTATTGCTAAATCACATCGTGCATCATCTACCACATGTTATCGAATAAAACCAACCATAAAATTACTTTTATTTGTGTTTTAAATAAAACATAATACTTTTCGCAAAAGTTATTTATAAATTATATGAAAGAACGATTCCAAAATTAGGGAGTTGCTTTTACCATAGTGCACTGACTAAAAGACCCGGAGTCTAATCCAAAATACCCAAAAGACCCGGGTGGGCGTGTCTGATAAGTAATTAATCAGAAGTCTGAAGACAAACGTATATTAGATATGTTATTTAGTAATATGATGCGCACAGTCTAAAGACATCAAATCTTTTACTACAAAAAACTTTTATCTTATAATTTAAGAGCTACGTAATTCGTGAGAAATCGGCACCATCATCATAGAACAGTCACAAAATCGTTACACAATTGATAAAAATTTTTTTTATATTATTTTACAATACTTTTTTAGAAGGCTCGCTTGACTTATCTTTTCTATGAATATTGAAAAT